ATACTGTGTATATATACTAACTACTATTAGTAGTATAACTATACGTACGGTTCGGTTCGTATTATTATACTATATAGTAGTAGTAGGTACTACTACTATATATATATATATATATATATATATATATATATATATATATATGAATGTCGTGACATAACTCTTTTCTAAAAGGGATTGTATACTAGGAGATCACAATTACTTACAACCATTTCGATGTAAAGTCAGATAGGTTGGATGCGTCACAAAGTTCGAGAATTTTTTTTGTAGTTTGAGTTTGGTCAATAGAATAAATGCTACTATCTAATTTTACATCAAATGGTCAAGATTTATTGTGACCACCTTGTACTAAAGATAAATAGTCTTACTGTATACTTTTCCTGCCTAAAGTAGTTTGACCGGTTTAGCGATACATTGATATTTTTTCCTTTTTTGCAAAAGGTGGTCTGGTCCATATGACCATGTAGAACATATATTTACAAAAAATCGTCAGCATTAAATTTGACAGTACCGTTGAAAGGGTAAACTTCTTTTTGGGTAAGTCAGTGGAGGAGAAGGCCCCTTACCCATTTTTCATTAATAAAATAAAGATACAAGAGTTCATTATTTTACAACTCTGTAATAGGACAACTGCACTAAACCATGAAATAGCAGCAAGGAAATAAAGTTTGACGGTCGAGAGCGCTAAATAGTAATTCAGAACTGAAAGAAACTTTCTTAGCAAAGGTATCGACTACCATGTTGTCCTCATGAAAAATATGGGAAATTATCCATGTACGAGTGGAAATTTTGCTCTGACAGTTGGCTGCAATATGCAATCTTCATGTGGCATGATATCAATCATGAATAACATTCACAAGTAAGGATGAATTGCTTTCTATTTGGAGAGGAAAGCAATCCCTCTGCATAGCGAGGTTAAGACCCTCTTCAAGAGCAAGAAACTCTGCATAATTGTTAGAGGCAATGTCGAATGGCTTAGCAAAGGCAACAACAAAAGCACTATTGCTATCTCTGATTACACCACCACCGCCTGTTAAACTTGGTTCTGCAAAGAAGCTCCATCGATATTCAACTTGAACTGCTGGAGCTCGAAGAATGACCAAGCCATCAGAATAATGGATCGAGGTTTCTATTGACGCCATGTGATCTGAAAACTCTTAATGATTGCTCTCCTGATAAATGAAAAGCCCATTTTTTCGCATATGCTAGCTCTTTAATATGAGAAGATATCTGCGTAACAATTTGCTTCCTTCTTATAGACCTTGACTGAAAATTTATCCTATTTCGCCTCATCCCATAAGAACCAAATTGTTGTGAAGAAAATAGAAGTCCAAATATTACGAAGGCTATTTGATTTAAATCTGAAAACTAACCAACTTCTCAACATAATAGATACATAAATATTAGGGGTAAACCACTTACCACACCGCCACACGATCGATATCCATACACTCTGCATGAACACACAGTGAAACAATAGATGACAAAGGCTGTCATCATTGTTCCTACAGAAAGGGCATACAAAGTTCAGATCAATACAACGCTGCTGCAGAAAAAATGCAGTAGGTAAACAATTGTGAAGGGCCAACCATGAAAACTATTTGGCTCTAGGGTGACATTTAGAAGACCAGAGAGCTCAAAAATTTGGTTGTAAAGATCTTTTGTCACGAATAAAATCCCAAGCCTCTTTAATTGAAACCATTCCACTAGCAAAGTGAATCCAAACCAATAAATCATTTTTAGGCTGTAAAGGAATAGTGTGACCTTCAGCCTCCTTCCATATACTAATAAGGGGAGCTGATGTGGGCGAAAGAAGCACCAATGTCTGAGGGGAACCTCCGATGTAATCAGAAACCTTCCATCCAACAAAATCATCCAACTCCTCATGAACATTTTCATTATAAGAATCCCATATGGACTGCCTTGATAACCAGAGATGTACCAAAAAATTCACAAGCTGGCTATCCCCAATAATCTATTGCACGTGATCCTTCAGAAGAGATCGGCTTAACATAATACCCTTCTAAGCATAAGAACAATATTATTTTACTTTGGCCTCCCATATAGAAGTATTCTTGAAATATTTGTGCTTGAAAAATCGAGCTAATAGAGATGAGGGCTTTGCCAAAATTCTTCATGCCAACTTCATCATTCTTGCAGTATTAAAATCAACAATGTTGCATATCCCTAACCCCCATTCTTTTTGAATGAGGCAAATTGTCTTCCATTCAACAAGGTGAACACCCTTTTTTTCCGCCACACCTACCCATAAAAAATTCCTCTGCAACCTTTCAATCATATCTGAAGAATAAAAGATAGAATCTAGAAAATAGATGATGCGTTGAGTATTGATTTTAGCAAAACTGTAAATGGCATGTATATGACAGACGAAGAGCTTGTCATGTACCAATCTTACCAATAACTTTGCCAACTGGACTGTGACAATAACTGTGTTTTAAGTGTCCATGAAACAGAGGTAAACCCAGGTATCTTACTGGTAAAGAACCTTCCCCAAAATCCAACTCCTTCAAAATAGAGGATCGAACAGCCTATGTTACACCAAAGAAAAACACTTTGCTCTTTGCAGTATTCATCTTCTGACCAGTAGTAAGTTCAAAGTTGGTGCTTTACAACAAATGACTACATCATCAGCATATAATAAATGTGAAATACCATAGTCGCATCCCGAATGAAAGGCCTTGGGAATAATCCCTTGCACCATAACATAATCAATTTGTTTGGGGCAAAAACTGATCATCCATACAGAGATCAATATCACTTTCTTGGCTAGCAGATCTTTAAAATATCCAATCATGTGATTGTCAATATCATATTTTGTAACTAGAGAATTTCTATTTTAGTCCTTAAAAAAAATAATACCATCACCCCTACTCCGTATCACAGTAGATATGTGAAAAACGTTTGTATTAGAATCCCCTTCCTTTAACTACCTATGCCTCGACTTTTGCCTCCAAATACTCTCTTCATGACCCAAGAAGATCTGTAATTTCTGAATATACTCCTTATCCATCATCAAGACCTCATTAGAGGGTTCAATGTACAAGCTATCATGGATAGATGACAATTGTTGTCGAATCGCTACAATAGAATCACCCACATGACCAAAAACGTCTTTATTCCAAGAACGCAAGTCCCCTCAATCTCTTCGACTTTGTAACAAAACAAAACATAAAAATCCCCCCATTCTGCCTTGCCAGGAACCTGAAATTATATAAAAAATAAAGCACTATATGATATTGAGGAGTGCTTAAATGGTTTTGGCCCAACGGAATCCAAATCTGACATTGATACTAGGAGATAGCAATGGTAAGAGTTCCTTATAGTGTAGACTTGACTATGAAAGAGTCTCTCACATTACCATCACCGTCCAACTCCTCACTGATGATGTTTCCATGATACACATTCCCGGAAACATCTCTTTCTCCACTAGAAATACAAACCACATTTACCTCCGACCAAAAGACATTTCTGTCCAAATACGAGCGAAGGAAACGCGTTTACTCATTGGCCGGTTAGAGAGAGAAGGGAGGCGACTTCTAGAGAGAGAAAGCAGCTATACACGTGCCATTTTGGATCATAAAAGGTTCATTAAGCCGTATTGCTCTTCTGGCTGTGAGAGAGAGAGAGAGAGAGAGCAAAATCTGGTCCTGTGATTTGTTAAGAAATGGATGCCCTAGATTCAGTCGTGGATCCCTTGAGAGACTTCGCCAAAGACAGCGTTCGCCTCGTTAAGCGATGCCACAAGCCCGACCGAAAAGGTACTCTCTCTCTCCTGATTGATTTCCCCCTCTCTGTCTCTTCTCTTGATTTGATGATCCAACTTGTGTTTTCCTCTCGTGATTTCGGTTTCCTTTTTTTCTTTTTGGGTTTGGATCTGATGAAATCAACCATCTGTTGCAGAATTCACAAAGGTTGCGTTCAGGACTGCGATTGGATTCGTTGTGATGGGATTCGTGGGCTTTTTTGTGAAGCTTATATTCATCCCTATCAATAACATCATCGTTGGATCTGTTTAGGTAAAGTTCTTCTTCGTCTTAGATATGTTGAAATTTGGTCTGTTTCTTTCTTTTCTTTTTCTCAATCCATAAAAGAACATATCTAAGATCTGGGTCCTTTTAATTCCGTTGGTTTTCGCCCTCTTTTCTCAATTATCGACATTATTTTGACATGATTATGGAACATGTTTTCTAGATCTGTGTCCTTTTAATTCCTGGCATTTTTTGGTTGTAGCAGTAAATGCCCTCAATTACATGTTTGAAAAATAAGATGATTTAACCCAAGTACTGTTGAATTAAGGAATTTGAATCCAGAACACGGGCGTTGGTATTTTTTTATTTTTGCAATTGATTGCATGGAGGCTTCTTTTAAATTAGGCCAAATGCCTCGAGATATTCATTTGTGATTATGGTGGCTTCTTTTTGTTTTTTATATTTCTTTGATATTATACAATACTCTCATTAGACAGAAATGATCACCTGTAAGCAACTGATCTTCTCACAAGTCGCAATTAATAATAATGTTCTAGCTTCTGAAGCTTGCCACTCTCGAATTTCTTATGCCGCCATTATGAAGCATCTCATATTTTACCATACACTTCTGAGTCTTTCTCCATTTGTACTATTCTTTTAGTGGACCAACTTGACCTGGTTGTCATGTATTGTGGTCACATGCGTAATATGGTTTGTCAGAATTCTATGCCCATGAGATTTATTACAGGGAGTCTGGGATCCTTGATTCAAAGAAGCTTTATGTTATGAAGATGTTCGCCATGAGAACTATCCTTTTCTGGTATTTTGCACGGATACTCTAGGGTAAGTAGGACCGTCTTAGTATGAGCTTGTTCAGAATAAAAGAGTATGTGGCAAGTAGCTACAGATAGATAATGAGTTGTCTCAAAAAAAAATTTTTTTTTTTTTTAAGGTGCGATATTTAAAGTTAATATAGATGGAATGGTTATTGAAGAGGGCACATTTGTGCAAATCAGAGACTTCTATTGTCCTTAGCTTTAGATTTTCCTATTTCTATATTGTTGATAAATATATATTTCGATAGATAGTTGTTGGATTCCTGAGCTAATTTTTTGTCCCACGTTCGCTTGTGAGTTATACCCTGGTGCTCTTGACGTTGAATTTAATGACAGCAGTCTCAGAAATCATGGTCTTGTTGGTTTTGGAGGCATTATCGGAGGCTGCTTTAGTTATACTCTTTGTTCCTTCTTTGCATCTTTGTATAAAAGTGGTTGTACGCTTGAAGAGAAAGTGCCCTCCTTTATGTCGTGAGATTTTTCTCAGTTGTGATCGGTGAAGTTATCTTCTTACATTCCATGAAGTTCGAGCCAAAAACCATTGTGCTCTGGTCTCCTAGTTCTTCATGTCATTGAGATTTGAATATTGAATAACTTTGTGGATTGGCTTCTGTCTTTATTCCCCTGTTTTGATGTGGCCATGTGTTCTAGCCCTTTAAATATGTTGTCTCCTTCAAGGTGTTTCAAACTATTCCTTTTTTTTCTGAGCTATATAAGAGAAGAAAAAATATCTCTTAATTACCACCACAAACAACAATATTTTCATCTTTATTAATGTCATCACTTCTTATGAATCTTTGTCGTATCCATCTCTCTTCCCCTTCCCTGCCCAATCTTCTCCCTCTCCCTCTCCCTCTTCCTCTCCCTCTATTTGCTCCACCCTCCTCGATTCTTGTGCATTTTATTCTTCCCCTTCTATCACCCTTGTCCCATTGTCTCATTCTCTCTTCCTACCCCTTGTAACCTCGCCCACCTTTCCTCCAACCCACCCCCCCTTCCCCCCCGCCCAAAAAAAAAAAATTTCATTTTCTCTCGCCTTTCTTACTGGTATAGTCTTTTTGGTTACCCAAGGGACCAAATCATGGAATATCACTCCTCTCCATTCTTCCATTCAGTGGTTCTAGACTTGGCTCGGCCAAGTTATTCGGCCTGTGCCCAAGGTGAGTTGCTTGGGTGAGTCCTAGTAACTCGCTCGAGTCCAGCCCAGGTTAAAAAAAATTAAAATAAAGACCACAAAATTGAGATATAGTATATGACCACCCATTTCCTAGTGTTGAACACAAAATGGCTTATCTGTTAGTTGTGCCGCCTTAGATATGCCTCTTCAGCCAAGAGATCTCGGATTCGATCTTCAAGGGTGCCCTTTTTGGGCGTCCTTTTTTCTAAAACCTTAAAAGGTTAACTTCAAAAAAAAACCTAGGCGGTGTATATAAGGGGGTTCAAACCCTTAACATATGGGAGGGTAACCATGCATGCCACCCAACAAGGCATTTGAAAGCTTTGAATTAAAATAGACGTATTATAATGTATTTCATATGTATACATGGTGTACAAGAAAACTCGCTCGCCCATAGGGTGAGGCCAAGTAACGCAGCCGAGTTTGAGTGCACTCGGCTGAGTCCCGGAACACTGGTTGAGCTCCTCCTTTGCAGATTATAGCTCTTATTTAATTATTCCTTCCACCTGGCAGTTTTGGAGTGTCCTATAGGTCCTCACCTGAAAGATATCTCGTAACCTCAACTTTGACCTTACATTGACAAATTTCAGCCAATAAATCTCGTAGTGTGTATGTTTGGGAAGGAGTGCATCCCGCATGTGGCATCGTGCTATCATTCAGCTACTTGCTGAATTCTTGTTGAATTTTTGTCTCTACGTGTACCTCAAGTGAAGTTTGAGCTTTTTTTTGAGAAATATGTTAACTTTTGTATATATGGTAAAAATTACAATATGATTAGGGAAAGGTTTCTATACGTCACCTACAGCATAGAAGATCTATGCTTCCCCTACCATCCAGCCATCCAATTTTGATCAAGAGAGCCACTCACCATTTGAACCTAGATCCAATGT